ACCCAGGCCGGAGCGAATACCCTTTGAGGCCATGTTCGATGGCTGCCACAAACATTTCAATTACTTCCTCACTCAAATCCGATCCCATATAGAACAATTTGGAGATCAATATGCCACAGAGCGCGATTTGGTTACGGCCATAACAAATGGGATGAATGAAGGGGATGCTTCAGACTGAGTGGCCCAACTACACAATGAAAAGCTCCCGAATTACATGATGTAAATGAATTTATTCAATTATTAAGACTCAGAGTTGAAAATCCAGACAGGGTAGCAGAGAATGAAGAGAACTTAATGGAAATGAGGCAAGGCAAGCGGCCATTGTCAGAATTCACTTGGGACTTTAGAAGGGTCGCAAGCCACCTCATGGATTGGCCTGAAAGAATGACTTTACACTATTTTAAAAGAGCCATTGATCCAGAAGTAAAGGAGGCCTGTGAAATTAGGGGAATCCCAGAGACCTTACAGTCATGATATATTGTCTCCCTCAGCTTAGATCGCAGCATCAACCCACACAGGAAACCCCTTCCGGCAGCCCGACTAAGAGAATTGTGGCGAGGAGACCGCCGACCGGATTAGCTGAACCTGCTAGTACCCGACCCACCAGGGTGCTGAAATGTTACCGATGTGACCAAGCCGGTCATAGGGCAGCAGACTGTCTAGCCCCTGCTCCTGTGTCACAAGCTCCGCAGTCGAAGCCTTATACAGCTGTTAGAGGTCAGAAGAATCAAGGAAGACCTCTGGGCAGGGACGGGTTCACCAAACACAGCTGGGAAAGCCCCCTCTGCACAGATGGGGGCAACGGACCACCAGACTGACACCACGTCTCCGAAAACCTGACTTGCAAAGATGACCCAATGTGAGTGATCCCATCATATCTTTTACAGTCAAGGTCAAGTTAGCGGTACCAAAGATGGGGAGGCTGAGGAATTAGAAGCTGTCACTGATACTGGGTGTTCCAGATGTCTTATTGGACTCCCCATCATTGAACAATTGGGCATAAGGACTAACCCGCTAAAATGCCCAATCAGATTTGAGCAAGTGGATAGAACCTTAATGGGGAGGGCAGCCACTCAATTGACGGAATTAATCAAGAAGGAATTAGGGCCCCATCGTGAACTCATATGCTTCATAGTGGCCCCCAAGATGTCAGAATCAATAATACTGGGACTTGCTTGGTTAGACAAATGGGCCCCGACGATCAAATGGGAGGATGGATTCAGAGAAATCCTTATTGGAGTGGGTCCATTGATCCCTCTTCCACCCACTACAAAGCCACCAGTCAGCTCAAACCCAGAGCCTGAGCCAGTATCCATGGCATCCGACCTTCTCCAAGATAACCACCAAGTACCAGACCAATACAAAGATTTGGCTAAAGAATTCAGTGAGGAAGAGTGTAATGTTTTACCTCCCCACTGAGCCACTGATTGCGCCATAGAATTAGAGCCCAGGGTGAAATTACCAAAACCAAAGATGTATTCCATGATGCCTGCTGAAATGGCTGAATTAAGAAAATACATCGACAGCAATTTGGAATGAGGTTTTATTGAGCCTGCCATATCAAGATTAGCTGGTCCCGTGTTGTTCAAGAAGAAAGATGGCGGATTGATATTGTGTGTTGACTTTAGAGGCGTGAATGCAGTATGTGTCAAAAACATGTATCCTCTCCCTCTTATGAAGGACTTATTGAATCACCTGTCGAAGGGCAAAGTATTCACCAAGCTAGATCTCAGGGAAGCTTACTACTGAGTCCACATCAAAGAGGGAGATGAGTGGAAAACTGCTTTTAACTGCCCCCTGGGTAGCTTCCAATTCAAAGTCATGCCTTTTGGACTTTAGGGGGCTCCTGCAGTATTTATGCAGATCATCAATGAGGTGCTACACCCACACCTTTACTGGGGGGGTGTCCTCGTGTACCTGAATGACATCCTTATCTTCAGCAAAACCATGGAAGAACAGGTTCAGTTGGTCCGACAGGTTCTAGAAAAACTTCTAGCCGCCAAATTATATGTGAAACTCTCAAAATGCGAATTCCACAAAGAGTCGCTAGACTACCTAGGCTACCGAATATTCAACCTGGGGATTGAAATGGACCCCAGAAAGGTGAAAGTGGTGCTGGACTGGCAACCCCCCAGAACCTGAAAACAACTTCAAAGTTTCTTGGGGTTTGCCAACTTCTATAGACAATTCATTCCGTCCTTTGCTAAAGTTGCTCTCCCGTTGATAGAGCTATTAAAAACGGGCCTATCACCCACCAAACCAAAGCCAAGTCAACCCCTGGCTTGGACTATGGACTGTCAGAAAGCTTTCAAGACATTAAAAGCCTCTTTGCAACAAAGCCCATCCTCAAGCACCCAGACATGACCAAGCCTTTTATTGTCCAAACAGATGCAAGTGATGTAGCGGTGGCAGCCGTTTTGCTGCAAAAAGACTCTCAAGGCTGAGTGATGCCTTGCGTTTATGTGTCCAAAAAGCTGACAGACGCAGAGTGAAGGTGGGCGGTCTGGGAGAAAGAAGCATTTGCCATACGATGGACTTTATTGACTTGGAGGCATTTTCTAGAAGGGGTGCCAGAGACCTTTGAGGTATGGACTGATCATAAGAACCTCAAGGCTCTAAAGACCCCTAGGAGATTATTGCCCAAAGTCCACTGGGCCCAATATTTCAAGCGATTCAATTTCAACATTAAATATATCCCCGGAGGGAAAAATGTACTGGCGGATGATCTGTCCAGAAAACCTCAGTTTGACAGCCACTGAGAGAAAATAGTACAAGCCTTAATTTCAGATGCTCAATTGACCGGCCAAGTAACCACTAGAACCCAAGCTAACCACAACCCTGAACACCTGGAAGACAGGCTGACTGCAGAATTGAAAATGCCCCTATTGACCAATCCTTGGTTTCTGGGCCATCAAACCAAGTTGACAATAAATGAAGGGCTAGCTTGGAAAGGGACTATGCATTATGTACCCACAACCCTAAGACTACTGAAACTAAAGCATAGCCATGACTCCTGGCTGGGAGGTCACTTCGGATTCCTAAAAACCCTACATTTACTAAGTAGACAGTTCTAGTGGCCAAAAATGAAACCTGATGTCGAGGACTATGTAAAAAGTTAATGAATGAACTCATTAAAGAAAGAGTGGGAAGATACAAAGAAAAGCTTTGAGTGAAGCTGCAAAATTTTTTAAAAAACAGGCAGATAAACATAGATCCCTTCAACCAGCTTTTAAAGTAGGGGACAAATTATATTTGTCAACCAAGTATCTTAGGTTGAAGCTGGGTTCAAAATTCTTGGGTCCGTTCCCAATTTCAAAGATAATCAATCTGGTCACTGTCCAATTACGTCTTTCTCGTCTATTGGGGAAAATTCATCCAGCGTTCTATTGTAGTTTATTAAAACCAGCTACTATATTGATGATAAGGCCACTACCACTCACTCCCCCAAAACCGTTGATGGTACATGGGGAAACACATTATGAGATTCAAAAAATTCTTGATTATAGATTACACCATGGCCGATTGCAATATTTGGTCTTATGGAAAGGATACCCCCTCTCAGATGTAGTTGGGTAAAGAGTTGGGATGTTCATGCTGATCAATTGGTTAACCAATTCCATGAGGATTTTCCCCACAAGCCGGAGGGTGGTGGGGGGGGGGGGGGGGGGGGAGAGGGGGTTAAGGACAATTTATTAACCCCTATATTGTGGGTTTTTTTTCTTTTAGGAGGAGGAGTTTTCAAGGGGGGACCCCTGTCAGCTTTGAAATTCAGCTGCCACATTTTTTTAGAGAGTTAGAGGAGTTGAAAAGTTCAAGGTTATTCTGTGTGTTGTATTAAGAATTTCCAGTTGCAGTTAATTGGTTCTCATGACTTATGAAGTGTAGAAGTGGGAGGAGAGAAGGGAGGAGAGAAGGTGGGTTCTGTGTAACCTGCCAAAAAACTTTCACTTGGGAAATTGCTTTTGAACATGCCAGATCTGTTCCTAATAAATCAATTGGAGAGATAACGTCTCAGAGTGACTGATATCATGGATACTTTCTGGATGCTTGACATATATAGCTTTTGCAATATCAATATCATATGATCCTGCAGCCAGGGGTGGGATTCATTTTTTTAAACAACTGATTCTGTGGGTGTGGCTAAGTTGGTGGGCGTGGCTTGGTGGTCATGTTATTGGCTGGGTATCACTCATATCGAGGCACACATCTCCTTGCCTGGCCTCTCATGACTGTGGGGATGCTGCAACAGTCATAAGTGTGAAAAATGGTCATAAGTCACTTTTTTCAGTGCCATTGTAACTTTGAATGGTCACTCCACACAAGCAAAGTACCAGCAAAGGAGGGGAAAAAAAGACTCTAGAGATGTTCCTGAGACAGGAAGTCTAGTCCTGCCAAGAATGTAATAAGGGTTAACGGAGAGGCAGTTTCTGTAAGCAACACCAGAATGTTTCCTTCCTGCCTTCCTTACAGGATTAGGCCAGTAATTTCTTCTAACAACTAGTTCTCCGAACTGCTTAGAATGTTAACAACCGGTTCTGGCGAATAGGTGTGAACTGGTAGAATCCCACCCCTGCCTGCAGCTGTAGTTGTATGTAAAATACATATATTACAGCATCTAAATGTTATATAACAAGACAGAGACCGCTGCTGTTAAATAGTATGTGTGTTTTGAACAATTTTTTAAAAAGGAAAATGAGTCAATCTAAGATTGGTAATATGTGCTGGGCTCACTGAAGATATATACAATATTTGTGTAAGAACCTCTTGGGTCCTACTTATTTGGTCATGACACAATCTATAGCAGACTTCTCCAAATTGTCCCTTCCAGATATGTAGGGACTGTATATCTCAAAATTACCAGCTGCTGTAATCAAAGCATATTACAAGCCAAGCAGACTGGATGTTTTTGTCTCATAACATCTGGAAAGTGCCGCATTATGAAAGAATAAGAAATGAGATCTAAAATTCAAACACATTTTTTTTATTTCAATTTCTTCTAGAGGCTGATTTAAGTAATCTGGACAGCATGCTGTATCTCTTGAAAGATGAAATCAGTTCCTCAAGGAAGAGGAGGAGATATCCAAGACATGCGGCTGATGATGACTACAACATTGAAGTGCTTCTTGGAGTTGATGACTCAGTTGTACAGTTCCATGGGAAGGAATATGTTCAGAAGTATCTTCTGACTCTGATGAATATTGTGAGTAACTTATTATTTTTTTGTGCCAGAGATTTAATTGAGTCCAGCTGGATTATTTAACAGGTCTTGCAAATGTCTATTGTATTTATTTATTTTTATATTGAGACTGTCCAAACCCTTGACGATTCTGTGTGACTTAAAAATAAATGTGAAACAATGCAAAGAAAAAAAAAGATAGCTTGACCAAAAGAACAAACATCCCATCTTATACTAGAAAAAAACTAAAAAGGGGATTCATAATCATCCTATTCCAAGACCTGACAGAAGAAATACCTCAAACATTCAGATAATTACCTCTTTATCCAACTGTGAAGACTACGTTAGCATTTAAGCAATGCTTCATCTACTTCAAGTACTAGAGTATAAACCAAGTTGAGATCTGGAACTATACAGACTATAGCTCAACAACAGAAGTTCTTTACAATCAAACCTTTTCTACTGCTTCAAGTAGAAAGAGAGGAACCTTGCACATTGTAGAGCACTTTACTATATCCAAGACAGAAATAGAAAAGCTTGTTCTTGAAATCTTGAAGAGTTCTCATCAGATAATGACAAAACTAAATAAACCCAATGTTCTATCTCAGTACCGTGCAGCCTTCTATATCTATAACCCTATACCTAAGTATCTCCTTCATGGATCACTGCCTTGTCATGGCGAAGGGGTTTGTGTAGCACAATGAAGCTATGAGCTAGGCTGTGCAAGGCCACCCAAGATGGACAGGTTATAGCAGAAAGCTCTGACAAAATGTGGTCCACTGGAGAATTATCTCAGACACAGAGCACAACATGAGAAAGGCGGGGCGAGATGAATCACAAGTTGAAATTAAGATTGCCAGGAGAAATATCAACAACCGCAGATATGCAGATGATACCACTCTAATGGCAGAAAGAGAAAGGGAACTAAAGAGCCTCTTGATGTGGATGAAGGAAGAGAGTGCAAAAGTGGGCTTGAAATTCAACATTAAGAAAACTAAGTTCATGGCATCCAGTTCTCTCAATTCCTGGAAAATAGATGGGGAAGAAATTGAGGTATTGACAGATTTTATTTTCCTGGGCTCCAAGATCACCACAGATGGGGACTATAGCCAAGAAATTAAAAGACACTTGTTCTTGGGGCGGAAAGCTATGGCAAATCTAACAGCATACTAAAAAGCACAGACATCACCCTGCCAACAAAAATGCATATAGTCAAGGCTATGATTTTCCCAGTTGCAATGTATGGCTGTAAAAGTTGGACTGAGCGCCAAAGAGTTAAGGCCTTTGAACAATGGTGCTGGAGAAGACTCCTGTGAGCCCTTTAGACTGCAAGGCAATCAAACAGGTCAGTCCTAGAGGAGATAAACCCTGACCTCTCTTTAGAAGGCCAGATCCTGAAGATGAAACTCAAATACTTTGGCCACCTAATGAGAAAGAAAGACTCACTGGAGAAGAACCTAATACTGGGAACAGTTGAGGGCAAAAGAAGAAGGGGACGGCAGAGAATGAGGTGGCTGGATGGAGTCACCAAAGCAGTCAGTGTGAGCTTAAATTGACTCCAGGGGATGGTAGAGGGCAGAAAGCCTGGAGGAACATTGTCCATGGGGTTGCGATGGGTGGGACATGATTTCGCAACTAACAACAACAACAATACCTAAGTATAACCCTAAGATTATTTGATCATATAATTCACTGGGGTTCCAATCCTATAAACACATAATAATGAATTAGATTCATTAGTGAATCCATCCATTCACTAAATACATCTGAAAGTGGTTTATCAGTTTGTATTAATAGAACATAGCTTGGTAATTAGCTCTAAAATGTCTATATAAGAAAACACATATTTTAAAAATAGATGCAATCTCTTACAGTTGGAGTTCAAATGGAGCTCATTTACTTCAGCCCCACAGCTTTCCATGCAAAGTCTATTTCAAATAGACTTTCCATGGAAGAATTGGGGAAACTCTTGCACAAATTGGAACAGGGCAGCATGAGGGCCTCTCTTCATGTTACTGCATGAAGACCGATGCAAAGAATGAGTTAAGAACTGCTTAACTCATTCTTTGCATCGGTCTTCACGCGAAAAGAAAATTCACTGCTCAAAAAAATAAAGGGAACACAAAAATAAGAAATCCTAGATCCGAATGAATGAAATATTCTTATTAAATACTTTGTTCATTACATAGTTGAATGTGCTGACAACAAAATCACAACAAAAATTATCAATGGAAATCAAATTTAGCAACCCATGGAGGTCTGGATTTGGAGTTACACTCAAAATTAAAGTGGAAAAAAACACTACAGGCTGATCCAACTTTGATATAATGTCCTTAAAACAAGTCAAAATGAAGCTCAATAGTGTGTGTGGCCTCCACGTGCCTGTATGACCTCCCTACAATGCCTGGGCATGCTCCTGATGAGGTGGCGGATGGTCTCCTGGGGGATCTCCTCCCACACCTGGACTAAAGCATCCCCCAACTCCTAGACAGTCTGTGGTGCAACGTGGTGTTGGTGGATGGAGCGAGACATGATGTCCCAGATGTGCTCAATTGGATTCAGGTCTGGGGAACAGGCGGCCAGTTCACAGCATCAATGCCTTCGTCTTGCAGGAACTGCTGACACACTCCAGCCACACGAGGTCTAGCATTGTCGTGCATTAGGAGGAACCCAGGTCCAACCACACCAGCATATGATCTCACAAGGGGTCTGAGGATCTCATCTCGGTACCTAATGGCAATCAGGCTACCTCTGACGAGCACATGGAGGACTGTGCGGCCCCCTAAAGAAATGCCACCCCACACCATTACTGACCCACTGCCAAACCGGTCATACTGGAGGATGTTGCAAGCAGCAGAATGTTCTCCATGGCGTCTCCAGACCCTGTCACATCTGTCACATGTGCTCAGTGTGAACCTGCTTTCATCTGTGAAGAACACAGGGTGCCAGTGGCGAATTTGCCAATCTTGGTGTTCTCTGGCAAATGCCAAACATCCTGCATGGTGTTGGGCTGTAAGCACAACCCCCACCTGTGGACATCGGGCCCTCATACCACCCTCATGGAGTCTGTTTCTGACCATTTGAGCAGCCACATGCACATTTGTGGCCCGCTGGAGGTCATTTTGCAGGGCTCTGGCAGTGCTCCTCCTGTCCCTCCTTGAACAAAGGCGAAGGTAGCGGTCCTGATGCTGGGTTGCTCCCCTCCTATGGCCTCCTCCATGTCTACTGATGAACTGGTCTGTCTCCTGGTAGCACCTCCATGCTCTGGACACTGTGCTGACAGACACAGCAAACTTTGCCACAGCTCGCATTGATGGCATTGAGGCATTTGTGTGGGTTGTAGACTCCATCTCATGCTACCACTAGAGTGAAAGCACCGCCAGCATTCTAAGGTGACCAAACCATCAGCCAGAAAGCATAGTAACTGAGAAGTGTCTATGGTCACCAACTGCAGAACCACTCCTTTATTGGAGATGTCTTGCTAAATGCTTATGTTTTCCACCTGTTGTCTATTCCATTTGCACAACAGCATGTGAAATTGATTGTCAGTGTTGCTACAAAAGTGGACAGTTTGATTTCACAGAAGTGTGATTGACTTGGAGTTACATTGTGTTGTTTAAGTGTTCCCTTTATTTTTTTGAGCAGTGTATAACTCAACCCACCAAAAACATAACTGTAAAAGACAGGCCAGAAATAAAAGTTAAAATAAGCAAAAGAAATAGTAAGAAAACACCTGTCTGATCTTGATGAAAACAAATCACCAGGGCCTGATGGATTACATCCCAGAGTTTTAAAGGAGCTGGCAGAGGTAATCTCAGAACCACTGCACCATATCTTTCAAAAATCCTGGAGCACCGGGGAACTACCAGAGGACTAGAAAAGAGATGATGTGATTCCCATCTTCAAAAAAGGAAAAAAAGCAGACCCAGGAAACTATAGACCAATCAGCCTAACATCAATACCTGGGAAGATACTGGAAAAGATAATAAAAAAAACAGACCTGCCAGCATCTAGAAACAAGTAAAGTAATAACTAGCAGTCAGTATGGGTTTGTTAAATACAGATCATGCCAAACCAACCTTATTTCATTCTTCAACATAGTAACTAAATTAGTAGACCAGCGAAATACTGTGGATATAATATATTTAAATTTCAACAAGACATTCAACAAAGTAGACCACAACCTACTTCTTAGTAAGCTAGAAAAAAGTGGAATAGATAGCACCACCACGAGATGGACTCGCAACTGGCTGACAAACTGTACTCAACGAGTAGTCCTTAATGGGTCTAAGTCTACATGGAGGGAAGTAAGCAGTGGGGTGCCACAAGGTTTCGTCTTAGGCCTAGTGCTCTTCATTAATCTTCATTAACGACTTAGATGAGGGAATAGAAGGGGAACTTACCAAATTTGCAGATGATACTAAGCTGGCAGGAATAGCTAACACCCAAGAAGATAGGCTCAAGATCCAGATGGATCTTGACAGACTAGAACACTGGGCCATATCAACAAAATGAAATTCAATGTAGAGAAAAGTAAAGTCCTACACTTAGGCAAGAAAAACCAAAAGTACACATATAGACTGGGTGAACCAGGCTCAATAGCAGTAACTATGAGAAGGATCTTGGAGTCTTAGTGGACAACCAGCTAAATATGAGCCAGCAGTGTGCAGCATGGGCCAAAAAAGCTAATGTAATCCTAAATTGTATTAACAGAGGGATACAATCAAGATCAAGGGAAGTACTAATACCACTCTATAAAGCCTTGGTAAGACCACACCTAGAGTACTGCATCCAGTTTTGTTCACCACATTATAAAAAAAGATGTTGATACTCTAGAAAAAGTACAGAGAAGAGCAACCAGGATGATTAGGGGTCTGGAGACTAAAACATATGAAGAACGGTTACAGGAACTGGGGGCACGGCTAGTCTAGTGAAGAGAAGGACCAGGGCAGGCATGACAGCAGTGTTCCAATATTTGAGGGGCTGCCACAGAGAGGAAGGGGTTAAGCTATTTTCTAAAGCAC